AATGAAGGAAAATAAGAAGAAAGAAGGAAAACAAAAAGAAAGAAGAAAAACAAAAATAATGGAAACATCTTCTCTATCTTTTCATATTTCAAATTCAATTAAATAAAAAAAGCATTTAAAAATCAACAAGAAACGAAAAAGAAGGAAACAGTATTCGCATTTTTTAACAAGAGTCTTTGCTTGGTACAGGCACTTGATCTGGTGCTGGCTCACTCACAGGAAAATCAGGGCTGTCTGAAGAAGCCTCCAACGACACTTTTGGCAGAGAAGGCTGCGATGATTGCATTGGAACCATTTTTTTGGGTATATTTACAGTGTTTGCCATTAGACTGATGAATTTTTTCGTTCCTGTTTCAGATACACTCCGTCTGTGATTTTCTGGTTCCTCGTTAGATGTAAAAGAAACTGATCTCTTGCGGCGAACTTTATCGGCCATAGCCAGGTTTGCTTCCGCGAGCGATTTCACACTGACACTTTCAAATTTAACTTCAAGCTGTGTATCGTCATCGATAATATCGTTGTAGCTTCTTGGACCTGTAGCTCCTCCGGATGATGATATGGAAATATTGGGTGATCGATTTCTGTCTTTTGATTGTTCGTGAGCAGTCGATATGTCTTCAAGAATATCTTTATCATCTTCCGCGTTGAATTTATAACGGCATTCAAAATAATTTGTATCTTCTTTCGAATTCAATTCCGGTTTGAAAGGGACCCTACTTGGGTCAACGCCATCAAGCCAGGGGTGCTTCAATATTTCGTCGATGTCTTTCGCACCAATTCTTTCATCAGGATTTGTATTCAATAATTTGACGATCAAATCTACAGCTTCACTTGACAAGTCATCATCTAATGCAAACCGTCCTCTCAAAATATTTTCATGTGTCACTTTTTCAGTTTCACCATGAAAAGGTGGTTCACCCATCAAAAATTCATAAATGGTCACGCCAAGGCTCCAAAGATCGACTGCAAAGCTATGTGGCCTATTCAACAGCATTTCTGGCGCTATATAGTCGGGTGTTCCAACATAAGAATTCGATTGGATTAATTCGCTTGATTCGTTCGATACTTGACGATTCACCATTCCCAGGAAACTCAATCCGAAATCAGTTAACTTTAAGTTTCCATTCTTTGCTATCAAAATATTGTCAGGTTTGAGGTCGCGATGAATAATTCCATTCTCGCGGAGATATTTCAAGGCATTGACTATCTGAAAAGTGTAAACACGCGCCGTCTCCTCATCAAGTGATCCCAGGTGCTGCAGGAGGCTGTAGAGGTCTCCGCCGGGGAGATATTCCATCACTAAATATAAATTGTGATCACCAATGATTGAATAGTAAAAAGAGACGATATAAGGGTTTGAAAATTGTAAGAGAATGTCTTTTTCCGCTAGGATACGCTTAACTTGATTTTTGAGGGTTAGCGATGATTTTGGAATAACTTTGATCGCGTAGATGTCGCCCGTCTTCTTCTTCTTTGCTAGGAAGACACGCGCATATGCACCGCTTGAAATTCTCTTTAAAAAGTCGAAGTCGGAGATATTTGGTTGTTTCGCCAATTGATGAACATCACCGTTTATTTGTTTCAATCCTTCTGAAT